TCTATACGTTGGTGTCAAGCATGACCGTGAGTCTTATATTGTGATTTTCATGATTTCGTTGTTCATGCCTTGGTGAAGATTTCTAATTGTTGTATAAAGTTTGTGGAAAGAATTGTGACCAATGAACATTGAGGAGCGTTAGCTCAAGTTGTATAGTGAAATTGTGAAAGTATAAGTAATAATTGAACTTTCAGGGCATTGGCTCGAGTTGTGAAATGAGTTATGAAAGTATAAGTGAAAATTAAAACTCTAGAGCATTGGCTTGAGTTGTGAAGTGAATTGTGAAGTAAGAGTGAGGAAAATAAGAGATCATTAAGTTGCCCCCTTGCCGGGCTATTGTTGAATTGTGGTTCCCTTGCATTGTGTCCTTAATTGATATTACAGATGCTTAGGTTGAGGATTCTTTGTGTTGGGTAGGGATTATGGGTATAACTGAGGTAGTTAGGTGTCGGAATGAGGTTGGTTATAGCTGAGGTAGTTAGGTGTGGTGACGAGTTTGATTATAGCTAAGGTGGTTAGATGTTGTAACGAGTTTGGTTATAGCTGAGGTAGTTAGGTGTGGTATCAAGTTTGGCTATAGTTGTTTCTCCCTTGCCGGGATATGATTGCTGGGTAGGGATTATGGGTATAGCTGAGGTAGTTAGGTGTCGGAATGAGGTTGGTTATAGCCGAGGTAGTCCTGTAGGCGTCTGCAGGCCTTGGCGTTTCCTTCTATCTACTTTTCTGTTTCTTACATGTATTTCCAGAAACAGTGTTGTAATTAATTCTTTCAAACCTTTATTTGTAGTATTCTTAGACTGTCTGTAAAACTGTGACACCAGTTCTGTGTAGTCGAGACTCAAACATTTGTAATAGATATTCATGTTCAGATGGCTTATTGTTTTCTTCCGCTTATGTTATATTCCGTTCTTTAAATGTTATTTCTTCGTAATTGTTAAAGAGAATAAAATTGGTAAAAAGGTAGATGGTTCAATAATTGGCTTGCCTAGCTCACATTAGTAGGCGCCATCACGACTCCCGAGGTGAAAAATCCGGGTCGTGACAATTGTTATCGCAAATCTAATTTAAAAATATTTATTTATTTATATTTGCGACTACCGTAGTCGCAAATATAATTTAAAATTATTTATTTATTTATGTTTCCGACTACAGTAGTCGAAGATGTTCCTGAATTTAGAATATTTTGATGCATTTTGCGACTACTATGGTCGGAAAACTGGGAATTTTTTGTCAAATTCCAGCTCTTTTAAAGCAGTACCACCTGCCAATTCAAATATACAACAACCAATTAATTCAACATGCCAACCAATTATTCCACAATGCTAGACAATCAATTCGTCATCTCAACCAATCAATCCACCATTGCAACTAATCAAATCCATAAAATGCAAAACATAAATATTTGTAACTAAAAGATCCAAAAAGAGTTAAACATTCTAGCACCATTCAATCTAGTCTAAAACATTACAATCATAGTCAAGTGTAAATATTACCAAGTCTAAACATCCAACTACAACAAATAATAATGTCTCAAACATCATAACCATAATAAATTAAAACTCATTATCCCCACCATCCTCGCCATTCAAAGGACCAAATGGACGTCCGCTCATAAATTTCTCCACTAGACTCTACAATTTGTTAAAATTTGCGTGATCTTCTTTCCGTTACTCCAACTCTTTAACTTATTTTCATAATACTTCCATCTCTTCGTGATCTTGCGAATAACTTGCATCACCAGACAACAATGTCGTAGAACGACCTACGGAATATTGTGATCCAAGACCTTAGGTTCTACCTTTATTTGCGCCACCAACCATCTGCGACCATATTGAAGCTACATCATTGAGTGATACTTGGGTTGACCTACCATTCTCGGAATCGGGTTGACTTTGACGCCATTCCTCAAAAAGTTGCTGATAGGCTTCCTGAAATTAACATGACACAACCAAATCTTAGGTGTAAAATGAAGTAAATAGAGGAAGGGAAAAGGTATATACAAGTCCACAGAAAAATTCACTAAGCTACTAGTATGCTTGTCATCAAAATCTCTGGCATTCCTTTTTGAAAGCAAATTATTTCTCAAAATCTTAGAATTAGCACATACAACAGTAAAACAAATACACAGTAGCAACATCAAAATGGCAACAACAATGAAATAGAATGAGCATCGACTAGGGGCATCACCTCCAAGTAACATTTTAAAGATCAATTGCTCAGCAAAACAGATCCATTAGACCAATTTATGGCTTGATATGAGTTTTATTTGACTGCATCCATTAAATGATACAGTCTCAATAGTTTTTGAGCTCTAAAACAAACATGTACTGGTAAAAAAATATTCAAAATTGGCAGTTGATTATGACAAAAACTCAGGAGAAACATCTAAAGTCTTATAGAATATAGGGTACCCATCATCATTTTTGAAAAGGGTTAATAAGAATGCATGAATTTGGAACGAGGGGATAGGTTCAAGCAACCACCTAAATTTATTTTTACATAGCAAAAAACACCACAGAACAAGTCTTCAAATTGCAGTAATGTCTCATGTCTATGGATTTAAGATAACAAGTCTATGGCTTGAGAGCCAAAGCGAGTCCAAACTTAGTATTTAAAATGTAGTTCAAACTTATTATCTCACATGTTATATATAGTGCTAAAAAGAAAACTAACTGAGAATCTGAATCAGTAATGTCTATATTCACATTTTGACCAAAGGATATGATTGTGCTTTCTAATATTGTCCCTTTGGCCTTTGCCAAACACTTTAACCATTTCCCTCAACAAGGCAATTGCCAAAAGACAAAAGTTAACAAGGGGGGGGAAGAAGGAAATTGCAATTAATCCACTGTTCTAAGCTTTGTTTCCCAAAATTTGACATCACAATGAATTACAATATATAAACAAAGCGCCCCCTAACATGATTTACATGGTACATTAATATTATTTTTCTTTAACAAAGTGGTACATTTTTTAAATTCATTGATTACTAATAGTTTAACTCACAAGAGTTTCTTGTGCTAATCTTGTACGAATCATTAACCTTAGTCATTAAACCTTGCCTTTCATAGAGCTTTAAACACAAACCTTGTGGTTCGATCGGTTTAATTATTTTTTAGAGATTCATTAACACCCTTAGCTTCAAGTCATGTCGATCCATCATGATTTCTAAGCAAATATCAGAGTATAGCAATCAGCACGCCTAAAGGATATTAGATTAGCTTGCCACATAATATAACAGAGTAAAAGAGCAATGACGATATTGAATGTCAAAACATCCATCACATTATAACTTGAAACAACTGCATCTAAAAAAAGCAGAATCTGCATGGACCAAATAAAATGAAGCTTAACAAAATTCCAAAGATTTTAACTCATCTTACAACTACTTGTCAAAGAAAGAGGGAAAAATATATGGGCAAAAGCAGGTAAGAGCTGAACTTTTTGACAACAAACAGACTGAAAACAGGAGATTTTTTTTCACCAAATTAAGTTCAAAACTAATGAGCAAAGAAGTATAAGTCAACAACCAAAAACGAGAGAACCCAAGAGAACAACTCATAATAGCATTTCGTCCAACCTAATTTTCTCAATAATATTACACACTTATGTATCCAGAATAGCTCAACCAACTAGCTTGAAAAATAGCTAGTTCATAAAGCTGAGTGACCACTACTAATGACTCTTTTTTACCCTACAAACAATGTTAGATCACATTTGACACCTTGATAGAGCAGTAAATGCAGGTATACCTGCATATATCAAATAAGATATTTTCTGCAAGCCTACTTATATGATACATAATGACACCTCACAACTGAAATCGGGATCTTATGCTAACAACACATTTTCAATGTAGCCCTGAAATTGTGATCTTATGATAACAACAATAGAGTTGCAATGTAGCCCCCTTGACTTGCTTAGAAAAGCAGGGAAATTCTTTTAAATATTAAATGGAAACTTACTTTGTTTTATCTTCATCTCATCACTGATTAAAAAATAAAAATTTATTCTGACATAAACTACAAGCAAAGTGATTAGCACTATCAAAAAGAAGTTGCTCCAGACCAATTCAATCTACAAAATACTAACCTATCCAAATATTGGACCAAATGCAGACTAAGAACTAACTTGTAGTTGATAAAACTAAGTATCAGGCAATTGTGGGAGCAGATCTAAGATAGAGCTCCATTGTCCCGTTTAAAAGAGATATACTATTCGGTATTCAGTTCTTTAAGGTTCTTTTTTAACAAACCTTAGTCTAAATCTACTTAAACATATGCTTCTCATGGAAACAACCCTTAGTTACAAAATAATGTACAGGACGGGGAGGTTCCGCCGGGAACAAATTTCGAATGTCACTGGATTTACCGGTGGCGGCTATAGTCAACTGGAAACCTTGTTGGTGATATATATATATATATATATATATATCACTATAAAGCTTGTATCGACATCATAAATCCTTTTAAAAAGTGAAATGACAGCACTATCATCTATGTGAAGGAACCTTCTTCTTTATCGCCCCATCCCCTTTGGGAAAAAAATAAAATTAGTGTCAAGTAAACGAAACTAAGTGAATCATTACAATGAGGAGATTAGAGAATCTAGTTCAAAACAAGGCCAAATTTGAGATTATATACATATTCAGGATGCATTCAGTGGGGAGATTAATATTGCTAAGTGCTGACCGATTAAGATCCTCCAATTTCAGATGAACAAACAGTAAAATGGAAAAATTAAACAGAAAAGGGAAAAAAACTTACCTATACGAGAAGAAAGAGAGAGAGCTGAGTGATTAGTGATTTACCTTAAAAAATTTGGGGAAATAGGGATCGGTCGAGCAGAGAGAGGGGTTATCGGTCGAGCAGAGAGAGTGAGAGAGAAAGAGGAAATTGGGAAAATAGGGTTTGGGGGTGAAATAGTAGATGAAGGTTAGTGACTACGGTAGTCGCAAACCCGCTTAAAATTCTTTTATCATTTTAATTTTAATGTTGCGACCGACGCAGTTGCTTAGTGGGTCAACATAAATTTTTGACTTTTTAATGTCCGACCGAATCAGTCGCAAAAGCCAAGGCGGGAAATTGGCGCGCTGTTTTCTCACTGCCTTTGTCGGAATAATAGTCGATTTTCCTTTTTAAAAATAAGTAATAAAAATTCGATCATTTTCCGACTACTGCGGTCGCAAAAGTAGTCCCATTAGCGACTGCTTCATTTTCAGTCAGAAAATTTGGTCACAATTTGATGTTTTTCTAGTAGTGTAAGAATTTTCCCAAAAGTGATCATATATGCAAAAAGTCAAATACTCTTATTATCCGCCGGTTAACTCATTTTTTATCCGTATTAAATATGGGTCGGGTCGGATAATTTATCCGTTTTTTCATTATCCATTTTCGACCCGAACCATATCCGACCCGACCCGCCCGTTTGCCACTCCTAATTCTAAACAACATAAAATTTAATGCAAAGCAAAAATGTGAGGGCTAACTCCTGCGAAATGACTAGACCACCCCTTATTAACCCAATACAATGACTCAATTACCCCTGCTTATTAACTAATGGTAACACAAAAACTTTCCATAAAGTAATCCCACCAAGATACAAGTTGAGAAAGAAAGACAGATGGAGGGATTAGAGTATCAAGAACATCCAAATTGCATAATTAAGACGAGAGTTTCACATGCCTTCTGAAGCAAAATATTAAACAGTGTTTTCTTTCAGTTCACCTCAGCAATAACATCTCGCTTGACTTGGCTCCACAACATGTTCTATTCTCCATTTTGCTCTATCATCTAAAAGTTACTAAAGCGAAACGTCCAAGCATTTACAATTTCCAGTTCTACTTTTTTTTCTTTATCGTTTTTCTTTTATAAATTAACTAAAAGGTATTCATATAATTGCATCCAGTGGTTGCATGTAAAAAGAAATTTACATACTACTAAGTGTTGGATCCCTTCTCAAAGCTGTAAGGAATAAAAAAAGAAACTATAAAATCCATAGAAGAAAATTTACACCCGAAAGCAAATATTGTAAACAAGAGCATTTCAGACTATGTAAAGAATTTGCACCATCTTAAAAATGTCTAAGAGATCGATATCATATTGCAAATCCTATCGTAGCTTATTTAATTGTTCCTCCATTTCCAACCATACAGAGACTTACAACATTTAGTGAGTTTGGCATCACCTATTGAACGCGGAAATGCTCAGGAATAAGCAGCAATTGCATTGATTTGCTACAACGTAACATAATGTAAAATAAATTATTTTAAATTTTCCAACGCCTTCTTACACATGTAACACACGTTCAATTATCTGAGTTAGACAATCCTCATGAATTTCTATCGAATCAAAATATACTACGAGGAGTTCCAGTTCTCCATAAGAATCTCCGTGGCATTATAAGTCAAATCTAACAGTTCACTTTAAAGACAGGAAAGGATGCAAAAATTAATTTGAAGTAGAGGTGCTGCAAGAAATGAGCTACGACTTACTTTATGTAGCAAAGAATTAATATAACTCTCAGACATGGGTTTCTTGAAACAGTCGAAAAATAAAAAAAAATAAAAAAAATAAAAAAAAGCATAAGAAACATCTTTCATACTCAAAAACTTTAAATCCAAACAGTAATAAAAGATATAAGTGTGAACAAAATGTCATATGGACGTGGCATAAAGGCAACATTCTGTGATATTTTTTTCTTTTTTAGTCAATCCCAAAAAGATTACTACATTCTTTTTAGAAATAATTTATCTTTAGAATTTTTATTTTACCCTTAATAAATTAATTTACAGCCACACAAAAATTTATGGTTTGCTTTAGGCCACAAGTTCAAAAATCTCTTCTTCTCTTTTAAAAAAAGAAATTGTATCGAGTCAAACACCGTCACATAAATTAGGATGCAGAGAGTAAGAGATTTGTGATTTATGCGATTTTATGAATCGAAATGCGAGCTCAACCAGTGAATTTGAGCTATAGAGCTAGGGCGCGGGAATATTAAAAAGGAGAAGAAGGAAGAAAGAAGATGAGAGGGGAACTAGGTTTTTCTTATTCTATTTTAGGAAAATAATCCTAATTATACATATGAACCACTTTGTAATTTATAATTCTTTGGTGCTGAGTTTTAAAGTTCCTTTATTCATTGTTAATTAAGCTTCAGCTTAATCCTCCTTAAACTAAAAGGTTTACCAAATTGAAGACTTAATATGGAAGCAAATACCCTACAGCAGGATAGCATGAAAGCAAAAACCCTAGCGCCTGAGCTCAAACCCTACCACCTTTTTCACTGGTTTTTCAACACGATGGAATGAATGACAATACTGTTTTCTTTTATGGGTGTGCATAATAGTCTTTTCTTTTGGTTAGGATTGTAGGAATGTGAATGCTAAGTCCATTTTTAAGTTACTTTATTCTCTAAAGATGTAACTTTGATACCTTGGCCTGTTTTGTTTTTTTTAATAGATGAGTGTGCCTAACAAAATTCTCTTTTGGCTGTAGAATTTTAGGAATGTGAATTCTAACATCTATTTTTGAGTTGCCTTATGGTTAAAGATATACTTTTGGTACTTATAGAAAGTACAAGAGAGGGTGAATTGTCGCCTTTTTAAATTTTTAGTCGACTACTCGTCAGACCTAGTCGATTAAAGAAAAGATAGCGTGCACAAAAACTGTCAGTACTTCAATTTAAACAAGTACTACTAACAACAAACATTAAAGGTGTATAATAAAATATGAGAGCAATAAAATAAATGACGCCAGAAATTTTATACTCACTACTAGAAATTACAGCTATGGCAACCCTTCAAAAACTGTTGCAATAGATACGCTAATCGTCCCTATACGGCTATTAGGACGGATTTGGACGCGTTCCGGGATTCAGCGTTACAATAGGTCTACTGGAACGGTCATTTGCAACGGTTTAAAAATCGTCTCCATAGATAGGGATATCATAACGGTTTGAACTGCTACTATTGTTCTATCTGTAGGAACGCTTTTCTTTTCTGTTGGGACGGTTATAAACCGTCATGGTATAATAATCACTACAAGAAAAACAGCCTTTAAGGAAAGGAAATCTAGTCCCTAAAGATCAAAATCTGGTCCTAATAGAGCAATTACGACGGGAATAAGCTGGTCACCACCCGTCGTAATAGCTTCCGACGCTAAAGGTCAACAACGACGGGGCAAGAAACCCGGTCGTTAAATGTTTTTAAAGACGGACAAAATATCTGATCGTTAAAACCCTTTAGAGACTACAAATCTCGTCCTAGTAGACGATTAATTTTTTATGAAAAATATATATTTTCCCGTCGTTAAAAAGTGTTAGCGACCATCCTTCTCTTCCCTAATAGATAATAAATATATTATAAAAAATATATATTTGCCCGTCATTAAACAGTTTTAGCGACCAACATTTTCCTCCCTGATGGTTTCATATTGAACTTGCAAAGAGACAAAAGTAAAAAATAATTAAGAGAAAATGTGTGACAATATAATATTAAAAGAAATCATGCCATCAGAATATTTAACAATGAATATACTAATTCATAAAGAGATACTTCACCTCATCATTTCTTTTTTGTTTCTTTTGTGAAGGATTTTCTGTCACGACCCTAAACTCGGACCCGGTCATGATGGCACCTCTCGTGAAGACAAGGCCATCCAACTCTTCCCATTTTAATTTTTAACAATTAAACAATAAGAAACAGTCTAAGCATGATAAAATAATCCAAAGTTTAAGCAGATAACAACATAATTTGCGGAATACAACCCAACACAGCCCGATACCGGGGTGTCACTAGTCATGAGCATCTAAACAATCCGGAATACTCAGAGAAATCTATAGAGTTTAATAAAGTAACTAAGAACATGGAGAATAAGATAGGGAAGAAGCTCCGGGCTGCAAACGCCGATAGCTACCTAGAGACTCCTAGGATCTGCCTGAGCTGGAAAGATCAGCACTCGGGAGCGGGACCAGATGCGCCTGAATCTGCACATGGGGTGCAGGGAGTAAAGTGAGTACTTCAACTCAGTGAGTAATAATCATAAATAAGGACTGAAAGCAGGAAATCACTTAAAGCACATTTGCAGACTATAATGAAGCAGTAAAACCAGTGAAAGATATGTAGAAGTCATTTAACTCGAATTAAACTTCACGAAAACCTTTTTCAACAATTTAAGCAGTTAAATGATAGGCAATTAAGGAAAATAAACACATAAAGGTTTGCCCCTCGAGCACAGTATCAGCAAATCCGCCCCTCGGGCAATATCTTAGAGCAATACCAGCCCTTCGAGCTATATCTCACATCACAGTGGGTACCCGCACTCACTGAGGGTGTGCAGACTCCTGGAGGGGCTCCTTACGGTCCAAGCGCAATATCAAGCCATCTCATGGCATCATAACTAGGCCCTCAGCCTCATATCATCAAGCCACCTCGTGGCGTACATATCTCAGGCCCTCGGCCTCATAATCAATATCAAATGTTTCCTCACAACATAGGCCCTCAGCCTTACTCAGTCAAAATCCTCACAAGTCACTCGGGCAATAGTAAAACATGATTCTCAGCCCAAAATCATTTAAAAGATCATTTAAGTGTTAAAACAGAGTAGACATGGTTGAGTACAAAAATAGTGAAATATAACATGACTGAGTTCAAGTATAAAGTCAAAACAGTGAGGAAATATCAATAAAAGCCTCCGAAGGCTTCAAATAGTTGGCACGAAGCCCAAATATGGCATTCAGCCCAAATAATGATGATAGCAAATAGATTTCAGTCAAACACACGATAAGATAGTCATTGGGGACGGACTAAGTCAGAATCCCCAATGGTGCACGACCCCACGCTCGTCATCAAGCGTGTGTGTCACCTCAATATAGCACAATGATGTGTAAATTCGGGGTTTCATACCCTCAGAACATCATTTACAATCATTACTCACCTCAATCTGATCAAATCTCTAGCCTGCGACG